TTGTTCCCATCCTGGATGCAATAGAAAGTGCACCCACTGGAGTATCTGAAGCAGGAGGAGTGATACTGAAGGGCAAGAATGAATATGAGGAAAGCTGTCAGGAGGCAAGAGATAGCAGGCGCCTAGATCAGGGTACTGATCATGAAGATGGACACAAAGAAATGGACTCGTGGTATGTTTTGAGTATATCAAATATATATTCAAAAATATATCAAATCAACAGGACTTGGTAAAGGCTTGGACATGGGACATGAAGGAGGTGTCAACGATGACTCTCAATGTGGTGTTCAACTCGAGCAACTCCACAGATACTGATCATTTACCACAGGGGCTTTGGGGGAGGGGTGAATTTGGAGGGAAAATGATGAGTCCGGTTAGAATTCCAAGGATGACACTGGACAAAAATGAGAGGTACGCATTTGGGAATCAAATGAATAGGATCCACTAGGGAGAGAGCACAGAGAAACAGAAAGCCCAGGACTGCACCCTGAAGAATGCCAGGATTTATAGGTTGGGGAGGGAAGGATGAGGCAGCAAAGGAAGCTGAGAAGTGGTCACTAAACAGGAGAGAAACTAGAAGAGGATGCTTGTGGCAACTGATGGAAGAGAATATTTTAGGAAGGTGATGATCAACACTGTTGAATGGTGCCGCCAAGTTGAGAAGAGAAGGACCAAGATGTCTCTGTTGTTAGCACTTCCCATGCCCTTCCTTGCGTGAGGCAGATTTTCTGGGTTGTGAGATAGAAGATAGTATGCAGCGGGTTGAAATACAACTGGAAGGTGACAGCATGTGACTCTAATGGGGAGAAGAGGTGTGGTGTGGAGCTGAAGACAATGGGGCATTGAAGGAAGGATACTAAAGATGGAAGCGACTTGATTACGTTTCCACTGCTGATTAGAAGGGTCTATTACATGATAGGAGGAGATTCAAGATAGCTATACCGTGAAGGTCAAAAGGGATGGATTTAGAGCCATCTCTTAAAGGCACCATCTCCCTGGGTTTAGAGCCCAGGAGTGAAAGGCTGTTTGGACATTCTGTACTGGGGGAATGTGGTGGGGAGGTGGTGGGGGTTGTTGACTGTTTACTTCTCAGCAGGGTTATCTGGTTGGGCCATGTGCTGGGGAACCCCTGACGTCAGTACCTTCAGGTCTCTCCTCTGGGCCATCTGATTCCCCTGAGGAGAAGCTTCCAGCGTCTTGCCTAGAGGGTCAAGACCTGCCTGCCTGCATTCTGGGAGCTGAGTGAGAGAAGAGGCTGCCCACTGCAGCTTCCAGCAGACGTAACTCATTCCGTTGCCTCATGCTTTTAGGAGCCTTACCTTTCCTCGTGCCTGATGTTCTCAGTCCTGAGACTCTCTCTGCTTTCTCCACAGACTGAATCTCCTGATGGGGTTGGGGAGAGGCAGTGGTGGAGTGGGGGTGGGGAAACCGCAGAGCCAATTGCTTCTCCCCCACTTCAAGTGCCTTCTTGAGCTGTTTGAGGGTGCTGTGATGGAAATCATGTTGAGCGCAGTTTTCTGCACTGCCAGATTTAGCTTTCAAGAGTTTTCCAACTTCCAAAACCTCACTGTTCTCTCCCCTGTTATCTCTTTACTGTGGTTTGGTAGGGCTTCAGGAGAGGTCAGACTTAGACACAGGTGTTCAATCTGCCATCTTCATCCAGAAGTCAGTGTCAAAGCCTGTCGACGGTGGAGGAATATTTTGGTTTTTATAAGAAAAGGAAAAGGCCCCAGTGTCCTGTCCCTTCTGATCTGTGTGGATGCCAGCACCCCAAACCAACACCACCCAGCTGTGTCAAACCAACCCAACGAAAACAACGAGCACACATAGATGGCAAACTGCAGGGCCCGGGGCTCAGGCAATTTGTAGTTGGAATTATTATTATTTTTTTTGTAGTTGGAATTATTAATATGTGGACTCAAAGCCTTTGACCCACTACATCAGCCACCAAAGAAAAAATGAGATAAATTTAGGAACACGTTCGTCTTCCTGCTCTCATGATTAATAAAAGGCCCTTTAAGCTCAGAGAAATGATTTCTTTTTTCTGAAGCCTACAAAGAAATTTCATTAAAAATATTTAACAGAAATCCAAATAAAAGAGAAAAAGAGCCTTATTATAATCCTATCCGCTCAACTCGTGGTTTGGTTTGGTTGGTTTGTTTTTTTCCAGGTTCTCAACCAGTTGTGGTCTACAGACATTCATAATTTGACAAAAAGGATCTATTTCTAGGCCAATTCTCATTGGTTTGTGAAAATGGGCATTTCCTCAAATTGTTCCGGTGCCTAAGATGGGCGCCTTTGGGAAGAGCGTTAACTGTTTTGGGTCACGAGCACACAGAACAGTGCTTTAATTGTCTAAAACAGGGGTAGAGTATTATCCCCTCCTTCTAAGGTGCCGGTAGTCAGGTGCTTCAGCACATGAGTGAGGCAGACACCGCTCTGGGGATGATTTGCAGGTTGTAGAGAAACTGGCTCCAGATTTTTCTTTCAGGCAACCACAGGGCCTAGCTTTTCCCTGAGCAGAGTCTCCTTCTGGAAGCTTAAGACATTGTGTCTCATAGCAGTACCGACATGGAGGGTTAGGAAGAATCTTCGAGGCCCTCTGGCCAGCACCCCTGATGAGTGGCGGTCTATCCTCGGCTGCACACTTCCATGGTTTGGAAACTCCCTACTGGAAGGATCCAGTGATGCTCAGACACATCTCTGAGACTAACTACAGCTGACCCTTGAACACCATGGGGGTTAGGGGCGCTGAACCTCCTCCACCCCTTGCTCAGTCAGAAATCTCTGTATCTCTCTTTGGCTCTCCAAAAACTTAACTACTAATAGCCTACTGTTGACTGGAAGCCTTACTAATAACATAAACTGTTGATTGATTAGCACATATTTTGCATGGTGTACACACACACACACACACACACACACACGCGCACACACACTGTATTCTTACAATAAAGTCACCTAGAGAATAGAAAATGTTACTAAGAAAATCCTAAGGAAGAGAAAATACATTAACTATCCATTAAGTCCAAGCGGATCATCATCAAGTTCTTCATCCTCATTTTCTTCACGTTGAGTAGGCTGAGGAGGAGGAGGGATTGGTCTTGCTTTCTCAGGGGTGGCAGAGATGGAAGAAAATCTGAGCAAAAGTAAACGCATGCAGTTGAAACCTGTGATGTTTAAGGGTCAGCTGTGATTTAATAAGTCCTGAGCTCCCCCCACCCCCAACCCCCACCTTTACAGTTTTGAGCAGGGAGCATGGCTAAGGGAGGCCAGGCCGGACTGGGTACTGCAATGGGGATTGGCGATACCCAGATGCAGTTTGTGTTCCAAGTGAGCAGATGTGGGCACAGAGAGAAAGCCTAGCCTGTTAATGGAACCCCAGAAGGCCTGGCCAGCAGCAGTCCCCAAATTCCAGCTGTGTGTGTCAGTCTGCTGCAGTCCCCAGCATGAACACATTTAACTATCTGCAGCTCCCAGCGACGTTCTGCTTTCTAGTTCCCGACACCTGCTGATCTGCCCTGATCCACAGCCACCCACCGCCACCCCATCCCCACGTCACAGTCCCTGCCCCAGACGAGGCCCTGACCCCTAAATCAGATTGTCCGATTTAGGGCATAGCAAAGCTTGCAACTCCCTGTGGCAGATACTAGACTGTCCCCTGTCACCCATTTCAGTGCCTTCTAGAATGCCTTCTTGTTTTGTAGCGGACAAAAAGCTAAAAACTCCATTTCCCAGGTTTCCTGCCAACCAGGGCTCTGATGGGCTCAGATCCCACCAATGAGAGAGGCAAACGTGAGGCTTCTTCCACTGGGACCTGAGCCAAGAGGGGCGGGGAGAGGGCAAGACAATCAGTAATTCAGCCAGCATACAGGGCCCAGGAGGCAGCGTGAGTGTGGTGGTGACCCCTTATGGATGGCTTTCTGCTGGTGGTGCTTCAGAGTGTGCTGCTGAGGCTGGGAGTTGTTCCTGGAACCGCCTCCCTATAGTCATATTCTCCAGGTCTTCAAGGAATTTTGTAAACCATCTGATAGTAATGAACCCCATGAACTGGCCAGGGCGGTTTCTGTTGTTTACAAGAAAACCCTTTTTTAATGTTTCCTCAGATGCTTGTTGATATAACATTTAATAGGTATATTAATAGTTAATATCCACTTATTGATATCCTGTGACATTCCAATCTCTCATTATCTATGCTTGTATATATGTACACAGTGTGTACATATATACATGTATCTATTATCTGTGTGTGTATATATACATATATATGCACACACTGTGTACATATATATGTATATATACACTCATAATCAGTCAACTGTAATGTATATATACACACTGTTTGGATATATTTATATATACATATACACACATATATTATACACATATACACATGTGTGTATATTTAAGGTATACTGGAGTACTTAAGTATTTAAGGTCTATGGGAAGATATGCATAGGTTATATGCAAATACTACATCATTTAATATCAATGACTTCATTTTTTGTGGGATTTTGGCATGTGGGAGCTTCTGGAACCAATTCCCCACAGATTCCAAGAGATGACATACATGCATATACATATATGTGTATATGTATACATATATATACAGATACATATATACCCATATATATGTATGTTCATATATGTATACTATATATGTGTGTATATGCATGTAAATACATACATACCCATGTGTATTATACACATATATCCGCATTATATACGTGTGTATATATGAATATATACATGCATCCAGACAGTGTGTATATATACACACATGTGTCATACATATATGTACAAAACATGTATGTATATGCATATACAGTTGTCACTTGGACTCAGGGGGATTGGTTCCAGGAGCACCCCATGCCTAGATCTCACAGGATGAAGTCTTTGATAAAAAATGATACAGGGTTTGCATATAAATTATACAGATCCTGCCATACACCTTAAGTACTTTAAATGATCTCTAGATTATTTATAATACCTCATACAATGTAAATAGTTGTTATACTATATTGTTTAGTGAATAATGACAAGAAAAATTTATGTACATGTTTAGTACTGACACTTTTTGTTCAAACATTTTTGCTCCATTGTTGGTTGAATCCAGGCATGTGGAACCCATAGATAGAGAGGGCCTGGCTGGGCTCAGTGGCTCACACCTGTAATCCCAGTACTTTGGGAGGCCAAAGTGGGTGGATCACTTGAGGTCAGGAGTTCGAGACAGCCTGACCAACATGGTGAAAACCTGTCTCTACTAAAATTACAAAAAGTTAGCCAGGCATGGTGGCACGCTCCTGTAATCCCAGCTACTCAGTGGCTGAGGCAGGAGAATCGCTTGAACACAGGAGGCGGAGGTTGCAGTGAACTGAGATCATACCACTGCACTCCAGCCTGGGTGACAGAGCGAGACTCCATCTCAAAAAAAAAAAAAAAGCAAAGATAGAGAGGGCCTACTGAGTATGTTTGTGTGTATATTGCCTCAACATCAGAACAACCTCAGATGTAGCATTATTCTTAATTTGGAAACAAGCTGAGAGTCAGAATTGAACAATTTTCCCAAGGTTTTGTAGCCTGTAAATGGCAGAACCAGAATTGAATATAAAATATTTAAATCCGGAGACTGTGTTCCTTTCAACACTGGCACGCAAGGTAGTCCTCTGAGACATCTATAACTGCTAAGCTTGAAACCTGCATTTCCTTCCACCTGGCACCCCACTCGCCTTAGATGCCAGGCTTCATGTCATGTCCAGTCTCTAAGATCCTCACAGTTCCAGGTCTGGGTCTGTTTGGCAGCAGGGTCCCCTGAGAAGGCCTGCAGTGTGGGCCAGCCCTTTGCAAAACTACATGTGCGTGTGAAGCCTGGGGTCTTGTCAAAATGCAGATTCTGATTCAGGAGTCTGGGGCAGGGCCTGGGACTCTGCTTTTCTTACAATTGCCCAGGTGATGCTGTAGCTGCTGTGGGTCCCTCACACCACTCTTTGAGCAGCAAAGGTGGGGCAGTGTGGCATCTCACTCTTGGTTTTGAATTTCATCTCAGCATGATCTGGGGTCACTTGTTTAACTAATGCAACCCCTCTGGGGCTTAGAATCCTCATCTGTAAAATGGGAACAATAGCATCAATCCCATGGAGGAATTTAAATGAAAGGAGACAATACATAACACAGATCAGCTTCTCATTTGTTTTGGTTAGAATTGGAGATGATTCCTCCATTGACATAAAACACCAGGCTGTTATCCAGACAGAGCTGTTAAACTTTGTGTTGGGTTCCAAATCATTTGGATTATAATGTCAGCTCTCTGCATCACCCCAGAAAAGTGATCTTAGTGCGATCCTTCTAGTTATTTTGGCTGAAACTTGTTTCAGGTGGTCTGGAAGGTTTGCCTATTTATTTATTTATTTATTTATTTGAGACAGAGTGTCACTCTGTCCATGCTGGAGTGCAGTGGTGCAGCCTCGGCTCACTGCAACCTCTACCTCCCGGGTTCAAGCAATTCTCCTGCCTCAGCCTCCTGAGTAGCTGGGATTACAGGTGCCTGCCACCATGCCCAGCTAATTTTTGTACTTTTAGTAGAGATGGGGTTTCGCCATGTTGACCAGGCTGGTCTCAAACTCCTGACTTCAGGTGATCTTCCTGCCTCACCCTCCCAAGGTGCTAGAATTACGCTGTGGCTATAGATTTAAATGCTGCCTAGATTCCAAACTGCTGCACGCAACCTGCCCCCAAGTCTGTGTGTGCACATCCATTATCTGGAGTTTCAGAAGGAGTTGCCCCTAAGTGTGGTGTCCAAACGCTCCCTACGACGTAACTGGGGAAAAAAAAAATCAAAGCTAGTTCCACTTTTATCCAGAGAGAACCGAAAGGTAGGATCACATTTCCTCAAACTTCTAGTGAAGAAGTCAGGCTGGGGGCTCGGCTCTGGAACCTGGAGCCAGCTGTAGGGCCGGGCTGGCCGCCTGGAAACAAACAGCCCCACACAGGCCGGGCGGAACATGCGCGCACTGCCTGCCTCTATTGTTTTCTTTCCTGGAATAGCTGCTTGTTCTCACCAGTTAGTGTGGTCAGCATTTCCATTCAAGACCATGTTGTCAGGGCTTTATTTTTAAGTCAGGCATAAAAATGGGCCTTGAACTGAAACTTGGAAGCTGGGCAATTAGCATATTTGAAAGGACGCCAACTGGTCTTTTGTTATTCCATGGGGCAGAAGGGGCTTTTCCATGCTCTTCTAGATGACAAAAAGGGTTTGTGTTTGGGGCATTTTAAAACGAAGCAGTAGGCATAGACATGGCTGTTTATACACAGAAGCTCACCAGAATATCGTCTCTGGGCTGCCCAGATGATGTCTGTGTAGGGGGCTGCAAGACCCCAAGTTTCTGCTGACCAGAGGAGCTGGAGCACTTTAATGTGGAAATTGAAAGCCAAGGAACTTTGTGTTTAAAGTAGAACTGCTGGAAGCGGCCAAGTCCACGGCTGCTTTCCAGAATGCCCTGCGAGAAAATGCTGACCCACCAGCTGGCAAATGTGTCCTGAGTGCCTTCTCCCCAGGAGGCACTAGTTTAACAGAAATTTGGAGCTGGGCTGGGCAGTGATATGGAAAGAAGTATGCAGTCTAAGTAGGAGAGTCATCTGTATCTAGAAAGATAAAAGCGCAAGGTTAGTAGATGCTCCTTGCTGAGACAGGAAGCGGATGGAAAGGGATAGGGAAGCCCAGGAGGGGAGGGAACTTGAAGGACTGGGAAAGATCGCTGTGTGCGTGTTGGGGGTTGGAGGGCAGGTGGAAAGAACAATGGCTTTGGAACCCCTGACTCACTGTGCGACATTGGCAAATTTCTGGGCCTTGGGGAAGTGTCAGAAATTATAAGAAAACTAGGAAAAATAGCTCTAGGACTGCGTTGCTGTGGAATTGTTTAATGAGATAATGCATGTCAAGGTTTAGCATACAGCAAATGGTAAATACCGTGTTTACATGATGGGTATGCTGATTTTTGGAGTTAAACAATCTGAGCAAATGGATCTGGTCAGAAATCCCTGAAGGTCCGGGCAGCCTGTGGCAGAGGGGCAGGTCACTCTGTAGTACCCTGCCCTCATTTTGTGCACACTAAACCCATCAGGTTGATTTTTTTGCAGATTAATATTTTCATAATGTACATAAACAGGACAAACATGTTTTTCTTATATTTCAGATGTAGAGATCAATATAAGTAGGGGTGTCAGATAAAGCACAGTCTGGCCTAATGGGACATGTTTTTGTTAAAAATTATTTATACTAAAAAGTTGTTGGTTGTTTATCTGAAATTCAATTTTAACTGTGTGTCTTGTAGTGTGTGTGTGTGTGTGTGTGTGTGCGTGCACGCGTGCGTGCACGTCCTAAGTCTGGAAAGCCTATTTCTAACACGTATGTACCCAACACTCAGAGTTAACAAATATCAGTGCTTTACTAGCTTAGTGTGAGTCTTTTAATGTTTTAAAGAGAAAGTTACAGACCACAGTTGGAATCCCTTTGTCACAAACACACCAACACCATTCTTCTCCAAAAATGCCCACAATTGATTATATTAGTGTGTATACTTATGTGGCTACTTTTCTACATTTTCTATATGCGTATGTATATGGAAACAAAATACATCTTGTTTTCTGTGCTTTACAGATTTACATAAATGATATCTTACTGTATTTTTATTTTTGCCATGTAGCTTTATTTTAAACATGAAATTTTTGATAAAAATATTATATGTGATATACACATCATCATCATCATAATACAGCCAATGCCTATACATCAATTACCCAGCAGAAGTACTGTTCATTACCCAGCAGAAGTACCAACCCTTACCCAGCAGAAGTACTGTCCACTACCAAGCAGAAATACTGCCCATTACCCAGCAGAAGTACTGTTTGTTACCCAGCAGAAGTACCATCCATTACCCAGCAGAAGTACTGTCCATTACCCACCAGAAGTGCCGTCCATTACCCAGAAGTACTGTCCACTACCAAGCAGAAGTACTGCCCATTACCCAGCAGAAGTACTGTTCACTACCCAGCAGAAGTACTGTCCATTACTTAGCAGAAGTAGACCGTTGCCAGCACTTTTGAAGTCTCTGTGCCCCCTCTGAATTGCATCCCCCTGACCCCACATAGAAGGTAACTGCCTCCATGAATGGAGTGCTTATTCTTCATATTTCTTTATATTTATTTATTTTTGAGACAGGGTCTCACTCTTTTGCCCAGGCTGAAGTGCAGTGGCACAAACTCTGCTCACTGCACCTTCAACCTCCCAGGCTCAAGCAGTCCTCTCACCTGAGCCTCGCCAATAGCTGGGACTACAGGCATATGCCAGCACATCCAGCTAATTTTTGTATTTTTTTACAGATACAGGGTTTCACCGTGTTGCCCAGGCTGATCAACTCCTGGGCTCAAGTGATCCATCCGTCTTGGCCTCCCAAAGTTCTGGGATTACAGACGTGAGCCACCATACCTGGCCATTCTTTATATTTCTTTATAGTTTATCATAATATATGTAATTCTAAATGGCAGTGCTCAGTTTTGACCGAGTTTAAACTGTGTACAGAACAGAGCATCATGCTGTTTGTATTCTTCTGAAGCTATTCTCTCTTGACTTCATATATTTAAGAAGTTCATTTCGTGTTGATGAGTGTAACTATGGTTCATGGATTTTTTCATTGCTGTTTACTATTCTGTTGGATAAACATACTGCATCTTGTATTGCCATGGGACGTTTGAGTTGTTTCAAGTTTTTGCTGTACAAACACAGCTGTTATGAACATTATTATACTTTTTTTCTGGTATGTATATATGAAAGAATTTGTGGCAAAAATACCTGAGTGGGATCTTGGGGTCCTTGCATTATTACAATCATTTCTCAAAGTGGTTCTACAAGTTTATACCCTCATCAGAGTCTTGACCAGTTTCTACCTCTACCAGAAGTGTGTAAGTGTCCTGGGTGTTTCATAGTCCCCCCCACACCTGCCAAGCTCCTGGGGACAAAATAATGTCTTGCTAAGGCCTAAATTTTCTTTCCCTGATTATTAATGATATTGATCATCTTTTCATGTAAATATTGGCCACTTCCAGCTCCTTTTCTGTGAAGAGACTATTCTGGCCATCTACTTATTTTTCTATTGGGTTTGCCTTTTTTTCTTGTTTATTTGTAAGAACTCTTTATATATTCTGGATATTAATCCTTTGTTGGTTACAGATGTTGAAAATATTGACTTTTAGCTTGTGCCTTGCCTTTTCATTTTTTATGACATCTTTTGAGGAAGAAGCAGTCTTAATTTTAATGTAGTCAAATTTATCAGTCATTTGCTTTTCTGGTTAGCACTTTGGGAGTTAAGAATATTTTCTCTCTCTCTCTTTTTTTTTTTTTTTTTTTTTGATACAAAGTCTTACTCTGTTACCCAGGCTGGAGTACAGTGGCACAACCACGGCTCACTGCAGCCTCCAACTCCTAGCCTCAGGTGATCCTCATGCCTCAGCTTCCTGAGCATCTGGGACCACAGATATGCACCGCCATGCCCAGCCAATTTTAAAATTTTTTGTGGAGATAATTTTTTTTGCTATGTAGCCCAGGCTTGTCTTGAACTCCTGGCCTCAAGCAATCTCCCTGCCTTTGCCTCCCAAACTATTGAAATTACAGAAGTGAACCACAGTACCCAGCCAAGAAAACTTTCCTTATGCTGGCATTATAAATATATTCTCTTATACTTTCCTCTTAGAGTTCTAAAGGTCAGCTTTGTTATTTAAGGCTTCTGGTGCAGGAGCTGAGCTATTAATTAGTTATTGCTTATATCAGGTAGTAACCACCTGAAAAGTGAAGCAGCTTGCACTAAAGAAAGCATAGAAAACAGTACAGTTCTGTAAATAGACAATGATATTTACTGAATGCTTATTTCTTTAAATGTCATTGGGTACATAAAACCAATCTTCTTGGAGAGCTATCCATTAAACTCATGGAATCATTCCAAATTCGAACTTAACTTCAGCAGTAGAGATGGTTCATAGGAAAGCAGAACCAAATGGACTGCAGTTGGATTTTTAGCTTCCTGTAGTTCATGTTTTCAAGTTTTAAAACAGATTTACAAATAAACAAATTTATTTGTTTGTTTATCGGGCAGCCTTCCAAGCCAGAATAGGCTCAGAGAGGCTTCTTAAACAGCTTTATTAAGGCATAATCCAGGAGGCTGAGAGAGGGGAATTGCTTGAACTGGGAGATGGAGGTTGCAGTGAGCCGAGATCACGCCACTGCACTCCACTCCAGCCTGGTGACAGATCAAGACTCTGTCCCAAAAAAAAAAAAAAAAAAAAGGAATAATCTATTGACTTAAATTCATTCAATTTAAGTGTTCAATAATTTTTCACAAATTTAGGGAGTTGTGCAGCTATCACCATGATCCAGTTTTAGATCATTCTCACTAACCCGAAAGTTCCCTCAGTCTGATTTGTAGTTATTTCTTAGCCTTAGCAATGGCTAATCTGCTCTCTGTCTATCAATTTACCCTTTCTGGATATTTAATATAAATGGGATCATACAATATGTAGCCTTTGTTTTTGGATTCCTTCACTCTGTTTTAGCAGACTATTTTTGAGGTTCACCTCTGTATCAGTAGTTTTTTTTCCCCTTTTTGTTGCTGAAAAGCGTTGCAGTCAAATAAAATATATAGAGGCAAATCTCCAAATGTAGCATATTCTTTGGGAAGAAAGAATTGCAATTCAGGACATACACAGACTGGTTTGTCTTTGGTATGCCCAAAGAACAAGGAGAAGTTTAGAGGTTTTATTTTTAAGAAATAGGTGTTACATGTTGTTCTTTGAGAAAGTTCTTTGAGAAAGTTCATTGACACTACTAAGGTTTTAGGGAGCTGGCAAACTCTGACTGGTAAGTGATGGTGGTGGGCAAAACTGTTGTAGAATTACAGCAAATTATTTCAGCAGCTGTAGATAAAACTGGTTTCAGTTTACAGCAGGCAGTTTTAGCAATTGGGCTTGCAGAGAATTACAGTTTTGGAGAGATGGTATGTGTCCCCAGGGTTTTTCCCTCCTGGCTTCTCAACTCTGTTTTAGTTGACTATGACAAGACTTTCACAAGAGTATTTCACTGTATGCATAAGAAGCACTTTGTTTATTCATTTACCAATTAATAGACACTTAGATTGTTTCTAGTTTTGAGCTATTATGAATGATAATGCTCTGAGTATTTGCATAGATGTCTATGTGTGGACATGTGCTTTCATTAATCTTAGGTAGATTACTAGGAGTGAATCTAGGAGGGATTTACTAGGAGTGAATTACTAGGAGCCGAATCAAGTGGTTAAGCATAACTTTCTAAGAAAATACCAGACTTGTCTAAAGTGGCTTCACTATTTTAAATTTCTACCAGCAACATGTGACAGTTACAATTTCTCCACACCCTTGTCACACTTGATATTGTCTGTTTTTTTGATAATAGCCATCCCAGTGAGCATGTAGTTGTATCTCATTGTAGTTTTAATTTGCATTTTCCTAGTAACTAATGTAATTGAACATCTTTCTCTAGAGCTTTTAAGCCATTTGTATAATTTTTTGGTGAAATGCCTATTCAATTCTTTCAACCATTTTTATACTTGGTTATTTGCGTTCTTATCAATATATATTTGAAGAACTCTTTATACAATTTAGATGTAAGTCCTTTATCAGGTTTGCAAACATTTTCTCTGAGTCTTTGACTTATACTTTTATTTTCTTAGTGGTATCTTTTAAAGCATGAATGTTTTAAATTTTGATGGTTTCCAATTTATCAACTTTTTTCTTGTATGTATCTTACTTTTGGTGTCACTCATAAAAATATATAGCCTAATTTAAGGTCAGAAAAATTATCTTCTATGTTTTCTTCCACAAGCGTAATAATTTTATCTCTTACATTTATGTCTATGATCCATTGGGGGGCTAATTTTTCTGTTTATGCTGTGAAATGAGAGAGCCTAAGTTCTTCCTCTTTTTTTTTTTTTTTTTTTGGTCTGTAGTTATTCAATTGTCCCAGGAATGTTTGTTGAAAAAATTACTCTTTCATCATTGAATTGAGTTTTCTGAAACCTTTTTAGAAAATCAGTTGGTTGTAAATGTGAGGGTTTGTTTCTAGACT